AAAAAAAAAAAAAGAAAGAAACACAGGGCCGGGGATTTAGCTCAGTGGTTCTGTGGCCTGCCTCACAAGCACAAGGACCCAAGTTCGATCCCCGGAACAAAAACAAAAAAGAAAGAAAGAAAGAAACACAGCCCCAGTCCCCAGAGGACTGCCTCTCTTGTCACGGTTTCTCTCCAAGAGGTCTTGCCAGGCTGGCTGCTATTCTCAGAGATATGCTAACTAATGGTCTAAAAAAAGGGGGAAAAAAAGGCTACACTCAAACCTGGCCTGAATACAGCCTCTAGAATTAATTAAAATTACCTTTTATCAGTCTGTCCCTTTAGAGGGAACAGTTAAATGTGGCTATCAAAGCAGCAATTTTGGCTATCAAATATGACTATCCAACAACTATGGCTATCAACACGAGAAGCCTATATAACTAGATATTACAATCAGATAAATGGACAACCTAGGGTCCATCTTTAACAAATGCCTTTGCTTTCACAGGTGTACAAGGTTTTTTTCTTATGATTCTTATTATAAGAGATCTCTGCTCTTGTTACCTTCATTTCCTTGTGTGTGCCATGTTGTTTCTGCTCTGCCATGCCTGTTTGTCATCCCTGCCTTGGAGTTGGCTGATTATGGACTGAAACCTGTATGAACTAATCATGGGATGAATGAAGTTCCTGAACCAAGGTACCAACGTATTGCCAGTGTATGAGAAATGTGGACTTAGCCAAAGGTAGTGGCAAAAATCTGTGATCCAAGCTTTGAGGAGGCTGAGACAGAAGTCATGAGATTGAGGCCAGCTTGAGCTGCATAGTGAATTCACAGCCAACATGAACTGTATAGTGAGACCCTGTCAAAGAAAGAAAGAAAACAGGAAGAAAGAAGAAAAAGAAGGAAAGAGGTAGGAAAGAAGGAGGAAAGGAAATGAGGAACTTTGCACTTTTGCTTATGGAGACTACGTGGCAGGAACTGCAGGTGGCCTCTAGAAGTCAAATACGGTCACTAGCCCAAAGTGGAACAAGAATATGTTTGCCTTAGCCTTACAGTTGCCAGAAAACAAATCAATGTCAATCACTTGTGAACCTGAATAGTACAGTAAGCCTCTAATAGGAATCAAAGCTGCAAAAGTTACCATGATTTCAACATGGCATCCTGAAATACAAGGGCCAGTAATACTGTATTCCAACTTCTGAACCAAGTATTATTTTTTCCCCAAGGATTGTTTCTTTAAATCACTATGTCTGTGATAACTTGTGACTCAGAAAGTTAATAAAAGTCATTCTTACCTAATGAGGCAGCAATAGAAAATCAATTTTCCATGTAAGATTTAATATGACATTCTTTCCTCAGGTTTGGTCTTTGAAAAAAATCTACTAAGAAAATATCTATAAAGAAAACATCAAATATTTTATTTCTAGGGGTGCCATTATATTCAACATAGATTTGAAATGCCCTGACTTTCTCCTCCCCTATGATAAAAAATTGTCTAGAAATATGAAAAAATAATTTATCAAAGAGTTAATGAGTCATACTTACCCCATCGTCCACTCATCACAAAACAGTAAAATATTGCATTGCTCTGTAAATGCTTCTCAAACCCGGGGGATAATCAGGGCTTTATTTCCCTGGGAAATTTAATATTCTCAATTGTTTCAAAAAGAAGAAATGAATGTATTAAGTAGGATGGACTAGTTTTCTGTTTTCAAATGTTCAGGAATATGAACATTGCTTTGACTAGTTTTCTAAGAAATATAGCATAGAAGTATATTGTGATTTGGTTACAAATATATTTTCAACCCAATGTTCAAAGGTTAGAGAATCTCTGAGACTCAACTAAGACAGATATTAAGAATTTCAAAAGAAAGAAGGAAAAAAGAATGGAGACCTTAGTCCGATTCTTGTGAAAAGTTGTCATTTGTTGCTGTAAGGAGGCACCTGCTAAGACTGAGCTGCTGTGGGTGGCGTTACCAAAAGAGTTGCCTCTCCCATTACCAGCAGTTTTCACTTACAGTGATTAACTTAAATATTCACTGGTTTAGATATGCTTACCAAAATTCACAAAATTAAGGAGTTATTGAAGGAGTAAGTATTGTCACACATCTGTGAGTTGTTTCCTAAAGTGATAGAGTTTAGCTATCCACAGAATCTATGGAGACATGTCATCATTTTCTTCTATTCAAACCTGTTCACAATCTCAAGAAATAATTCAAGATGTCATGTATATATACCAAATACCCACAATGACTGTAAATAGTGTGCCATAGGCATGAACTAGAAAAAAAAACAGTAATAATTAAAATAGTGAAAGAGGATTTATAGATGGAAAGAAGTTAGGGAAGAAAGGAAAAGGGATTAAAAAGAATGAAGATATTTTCTCTGCATGTACCTACTCACAAAGGTGAATGCAAACTTTATGTACTGAAAACATGTACTACTAAAAACAATTTAAGGGCCGGGGATTTAGCTCAGTGGTTTCGCCACCTGCTGTGCAAGCGCAAGGACCTGAGTTCGATCCCCAGTACCAAAAAAATAAAA